GGCCCATCTGGTTTGCGCCTTCCAAAGCGATTCTGGGCGGCCTCCTGGAGGGGCTGGCATCTCGGGAAGACCTGACTGCACATACTGTTCCCCCTTTTTGTGTTGATTTGAAGGCAGTAATAGGCGGGCTTACACGGCCCAGGTGTAAGAAGATGCCACATTTGGCAACGTAGTCGGTTTCCATGTCGTATTAAATAGATTAAACTGAATGAAAAAATGAAATCTCCCCTGAGCTTCAGGGTGTACATTGTAATGGAACTAAAACTACACAGTGAGACGCGAACTGATTGAATTCTTGGTTAAAAATGTGCATCAGCATGCTTAGGCAGGAGCTTCTTAAACACATCCCTATACTTATAGTCAATTTGAACATGCAAGTAAACACTACTATGTATTGTGTGATCCAGTAGCTTTGACATGTATGGGTTAGGAACCCGTTATAGAATGTAGTGACTTACTGACTTAAACATTAAAAGCAAAAAGGTTTATCACACACCCATCTTGATTGCTGCATTTCCTGTACTGTGTCAGGGAATGTGTGGTATTTCGGCCCTTGTTTGAAATGTAACTTTCACCTGTTGAAATGAAGGAGGATTCGTGATGTTCTTACTGACAGAATCTTTTCTAAATAAAAGGCCATTGGGAGGATTAAAGTCAACCACAGACTGACTCGTTAGTGGCTAGTAAATGTATTGATTTTACAAATGTGTATTGAGGACCTTCTGTGTATGGTATTGTGTAGGTAGGCACTATGAGAAATTAAACACAAAACCAAAAAGCACCACTATTTAGTACATTGCCCTTTTGACAGTTTGTGGCCCAGTATGGCACAAGAGCTAGATATACAGACATGTGAAATTGCAGTGGGAGGTGTTACCTGATTAAGTTACCAAATAGATGTATAGGCTGGGGCAGTAGCTGGGAGGAAGAAATCTCTGCTGGTTTGGGAGGAGGTGGGGCTTGTGCCAAGATGATTAAAGTCATTTGCACTTCCTAACAGAGGGCACTCTATACCACCTCTAAAATCCTCCCTTGCCGCCCAAGTAGCTCGTGAAAATGAGCTTCTCCCCTTTTCTGATATTCACATTCATGACCAGAGTTGGTATTTTCACAGTGTCATTTTTCTTGAACTGAACAGCTTCTTCCTGACTCTTGGAATTCTTGGATAAGTAAACTTTAGAGTAGGAGGTCTTTTGGAGGAACAGCTGGTGGGAATATGCACTTAATGAGTAACTGGAACTATTTCACCAACTGCCAACCTGGAGACCTTTGATACAGTCACTTATTTGTTCTGTAATGGCAATGGCATGCTGGAGGAAGAGCCGAATGATGCCCATTATTTGAAGAAGATCAGTGTGGCTGGATGGCCAAGCCTCCTAAGTGTGAGCCAGCCTTAGAGAAAGACACTGGAGTTGATTGAGCAAGCCTTACCTGCCTTCCAACCAGAGTGCACTGGTGGAAAAACCAGAAATGTTACACTGTTGAGGGGTAGGGTAAACAAGCAGCAGGAAAGGGATCTTACAATGAAACTTTTCTCCTGTACCAGTTCCTGTAATGCAGTGACTCCCGGTGCCTTTTTCTCACTACTGATTATTTTCTAGCTTGAGGATTTTCATTACCATTCAGCTGCTTGAATCTAAGTTTGCTCAGTGCCTTGAACAATGTGAACTCTCAACTATTGAAATGAGAAAATTCATTCCTCCCCAACCCTGTTTTTCTTTGACTCACTTCTGTTTGACTAACGGGTTTTTCTTCTTTTCAGTCCCTTTAATTCTTATTATGACTGTATTTCCAAGCAAAGGCTTTAATCAGAATATTTTGAAAATAATTTGAGACAGAAAGAACTTTATCTTCCCTGAAAACTGAGTATGAATCAACATGCTTCTTGATGCTGTTAAAACATTATTTCTACAAGTTCTCTTACAGTGCCGGGTGCTGGTGGTGAAGGTCGAAATTCCCAAAATGGGATATTTAGAATAAGGAAATTTTTCCTTTCGAACTGTAACTAGGGCTTTTTAGACTTCTTAGTATTTCCCCCTATCATATTATAATGAAAGCATTATGACATGAATTATAGGAGTCTTCCTTTTAATCAGTGTCTGAACTAGGTAATTGTGACTCTTGGTAGCAGAGCTTAATAGCAGAAAGTTTGGCTGTAAAAGGCGTTTTGATCTTGGTATAAACCTTTAATGTGCAGATGTGTGTTTGCTGTCCTGAAGGTAGTTTGTTGGCTGGCCCATAGCCCTGTCCCTGTACATCATAAGATTCACTTTGATGCTGGACTTCATTGAGTACTACTTCAGGAGCAGATCAATTAGGACTTTTTATTTAAAGGTGTATTTCTTAGTATGTGAGGATCTCTCACAGATAGCATTTATAAACTTCCCATGTCTAGTCAGCTCACTGGTTTTGAAAATGTATCTTTAAGGTAAGGTAAGGCTTCGAAGTTGATTTTGCTTTTGAGTGTGAGCTGTGGGCCCACAGTGAGAGAGCCTGGGTATTTCATAGAGCGATTGGAAGAAGTTCTGCCTGGAAGATATTTATGGGCAGATAG